CCTCTTCCCCATCCATGATGCAAGACATGTGACCACCTGACACCCTACAAAATATTCACAACATTATCAATTACATTCCTTGAATTGTCCCCCATGTTCCCATGGCAACACTGCAGCTGCATATTTATGCTGTCCAGCCCCCTTCCTCTCTCCCTCATCCCCATCCCCCCCAACCAACAGCCATCAGCTGCACCCCCACATCTCTGAGACCACCTCTGTTCACTTTTCTTTCCCATTCAGTTTTTTAGATTCCACATATAAGTGAAATCATATGGTATTTGTCTTTCTACGACTGACTTATTTCACTAAACATAATAGTCTCTAAGTCCATCCATATCATCCCAAATGTTACGATTTCATTCTTCTTTATGGCAGAGTAATACTCCATTGTAGAAATGTACCACAATTTCTTAATCCAGTCATCTACTGATGGGCATTTCGGTTGTTTCCAAGTCTAGCACCACAATAAACATAGGGGTATATATTTTTTCGAATTAGCGTCCTGGGTTTCTCTGGATAGATATCCAAGGGTGGAATTGCTGGGTCATACGGTAGTTGCATTTCCAGTTTTTTGAGATATCTCCGTACTGATTTCCATAATGGCTGCATCAATCTGCAGTCCCACCAACAGTGCAGCAGGGTTCCCTTTTCTCCACAGCCTCGCCAGCACTTGTTGTTTGTTGATTTATTGATGATAGCCATTCTGACTGGAGTGAAGTGGTATCTCACTGTGGTTTTTATTTGCATTTCCCTAATGATTAGTGAGGTTGAACATTTTTTCATATGCCTGTTGGCCGTCTGTATGTCCTCTTTAGAGAAATGCCTCGTCATATTCTCTCCCCATTTTTTAATTGGGTTGTTTGTTTTTTTGGTGTTGAGTTGAATGAGTGTTTTATAAATTGTGGATATTAACCCCTTATCAGATATATCATTGGCAAATATCTTCTCCCATTCAGTAGGTTGCCTTTTTGTTTTATTGATGATTTCCTTTACTGTGAAAAAACCATCACCACATCTAATTTTAGAACATTTTCATCACTTCCAAAAGAAACCCTGTACCCATTATGAGTCAGACCCCATTTCCTCCCTTCCCAAGCTCTGAGTAACCATTAGTCTATTTTCTGTCTCTATAGATTTGCCTATTCTGTACATTTCATATAAATGATGTCACACAATAGGTGGTCTTTATTTGTCTTGTCAGTAGTGATGTCACCTCTTTCATTCCTGATTTCAATAATTTGAGTCTCCTCTCTCTCTCTCTGTCTCTGTCTCTGTCTCTCTCCCTCACTCTAAGATTTTCTTGGGGAATTGGGGGAGGGGAACAGCACTGGGGAATTGGGGAAGGGAAACAGACAAGTTGCTGTCCTTTTGTTCTTCAGTCTAGTTGTGGAGGATGTTGCTTCACTGGCCCATGTTGGCGTTATCATTGCGCTCTTCCCTGGTGATGCAGTCGCTCGCTGGCCATTCGACAGCCGCTCACGGCGGCTCACAGCAGCTCATAGCAGCTCTTGCCGGCTGCTGGCCTCTCACGCTGGCTGCCGGCCACTCACAGTAGCTCATGGCAGCCCACTGCAGCAAGGGCTGTAGCCTATGCTGTCGCCGGCCACTCACAGCAGCCCAGCTCCAGGTTGAGCTGTTGTTCACCATCTTAGCTGTAGAGGGCGTAGCATCACTGGTCCATGTAGAAACCAAACCGGTGGCCCTGCTGTTCAGAGCTCGTGCTCCCAAGCCAACTCTTAACCAACTGAGCCACTTGGCTGGCTGGCTCTCTCTCTCTTTCTCTCTCTCTCTCTCTCTCTCTCTCTCTCTCTCTCT